TCCTTCTTGGAATTTCTCAAGCTTCTTGAATTTGTAGAGTTATGTCTTTACATTTGGAAACTTGCAGGCATTATTTCTTCAAATAACCTTTTACCGCTTTCTCTCTCTCTTCCCCAAGACCTTCATAGCGCATATGTTGATCCACTTGATGCTGTCCCACAGATTATTTCTGCTGACTTTTGTCCTTTTTTTTTTCTTTTTCCTACTCAGACTGAATGATTTCAATTGTCCTATATTCAAGTTTGTGAATTCTTTCTTCTGCCTGCTAAAATCTCCTCTGAACTGGTGGATTCTTCATTTCATTTCTTACACTTTTCAGTTCTAAAATTTATATTTGTTTCCTTAATTCCCATATCCTTATAGATACTCTGATTTTGTTTGTACATTGTCTTCCTGTCTTTATGCCTTCATTTGGTTCCTGAGCACTTTTTTTTTTTTTTTTTTTTTTTTTTTTGAGACGGAGGTTCACTCTTGTTACCCAGGCTGGAGTGCAATGGTGCAATCTCGGCTCACTACAACCTCTGCCTCCTGGGTTCAGGCAATTCTCCTGCCTCAGCCTCCTGAGTAGCTGGGATTACAGGCACGTGCCACCATGCCTACCTCATTTTTGTATGTTTAGTAGAGATGGGGTTTCACCATGTTCACTAGGATGGTCTCCATCTCTTGACCTCGTGATCCACCTGCCTTGGCCTCCCAAAGTGTTGGGATTACAGGCGTGAGCCACCGCGCCCGGCCCCTGAGCACTTATAAGACAATTGTTTTAAAGTCTTTGTCTAGCTGGGCCAGCATCTGGGTTTTCTCAGGGAAAGGCTCTGCCAATGTATTTTGTTCTTTTGAATGAATCGTACTTTACTGTTTCTTTGTATGCCTTGTGATGTTTTCATTAAAAACTAGACATTCAAATCATAAAATGTGGTAACTCTAGAAGCAGATTCTACCCCTTCCCCAGGGTGTTTTGTTTTGTTTTATGATTTGGTGGTATCTGTGGATCAGGAGTCAACCTGAAGAAAAGCTTAAGGTCTTATCAGGTCTTTTTTTTTTTTTTTGAAGGACTTCACCTGATGGAGGTTACAGCAATGTCAGCCATCTTCTGCATCTGCACCTTGACAATCTAAAGTAGCAATCAACTGTCAGAACACAGTTATTTGGAAGATAAGGTTCTTATTGCTCACCCTGACTCCAGAAAGTTGCATTAGAGCACAGACATAGCCGCCTGAGCTGCTAACACACTAAAGGCTGAAATTGAGCAAAAGTAATTGAAATTGACCAGCCAGGCTTTCCCCTGGAAGATGCAAGCTTTTAAGTAGACTGCAGTTGCAAAATGGTTTCTTCAGATAGTTTTTGCCAGTGTGATTATTGTCTAGATGGAGATATGGATTTCTGGTGCTCCTCCTCAGCTCTCTTCCCTGACATCATTCTCTCATTTTAAGATAAGCTCTGGTAATACAGTTCATTTCAGTCTGACTACTGTTTATGGAAGACCATCCTGTGCAATGTTCTCTGCTGAGAACACAGAAGAAGGATTTTCCTCTTTTTCCCTTTTAGGAGCCAGAAATTTAAGCACAAAGACATTTAAAAGCAACGTCATTTAGGAGAACTTAGAAAGCCACCAGAAATGGCTAGGAAACATTGTGCCACGCTGCACAATGTTCCTCCCAGAGGAACAGGAGGAAGACAGCTCTCCATTTCGTAAGATTGATGGTAAGCAGCATAGCAGAGACCTGAACAAGATTTGGAGATGCTCTAGGGAGGAAAGAAAAACAGGCTTCAGGGTGAAGGTGGCCTCAAGGACAGAGGGTTAGGAGGTGGGAAGTGGGGACTGTGGGGCTGTGAGCTAAATAAGGGGCCACATAGAGACTGCCTGTTGGAGAAGTTGACATGGAGAAGCAGCAGCGTAAGCAGATCTGGAGGGAGGTGTCCCGAGGCACGCGGGATACCCTGTGGGTCCACCTCCACCCACTTTCTTCTGGATCCACTTCTCTTACATCACATCGCATCTTACCTCCTCTCCACCTCCTCACTGTCGGGGCAGAGGTAGTTGTTGTATGTGGGTTAGGTAGATGTAAAACTGGAGAAGTCAGCTTTTGGAAAGGGATGAAACCGTAGGTAAAAGGAAGCTCGATAACAACTCAGGAAGTTAATCACATGCTGTTCACCAATGGCAGGCTACACTCAAGTGTGTAGGGAATGTAGCTGCCTTTCTTCTTCTGCAAACCGACCTCATTTGTATTTTCATACTCCTTGTCCACGCTGTGTTCCTCATGACTTCAGCTACTGCCCCACTTTCCCTGAGTCTGGATCTAAGTTCCACGAGGAGCGTCTGGTCCTTGTGTCGTCCAGTTCCTTAGTTTCCTGGGGCTGCCATAACAAAGAACCCCAACCAGGTGACTTAAACAACCGGAAATTACTGTCTTACAGTCCTGGAGGCTGGAAGTCCAACCAGGGTGTTGATAAGGTTGGTTTCTCCTGAGGGATGTGAGGAAAAACCTGTTCCAGGCCTCTCCCCCAGCTTCTGGTGGCTTGCTGACAATTTTTGGCATTCTTTGGAGTATAGAAGCATTATTCCAGTCTCTGTTTTTATCTTCTCATGGTGTTTTCCTCTGTGTGTGTGTGTGTGTGTGTGTGTGTGTCTGTCTGTGTGTCTGTGTCTATGTGTGTGTGTGTGTGTGTGTGTGTGTGTCTGTGTATCTCCAGATGTCCCCTTTTTATAAGGACACTTCATATTGGATTAGGGGCTCAACCTACTCCAGTAGGGACTCCTTTTATCTAATTATATCTGTGCCCTGTTGGCCCTATTTCTAAATCGGGTTACACTCTGAGGCAGTAGAGGTTAGGACTTTGGCATAGTTTTGTGGGGGCCAGCTCAGCCTGAAACATTGGGCCAGTGTGCCTCTGCTGCCTCGCTCCTTCCTTCTCTGGTGTCCACTCATGGGGACTCACTTATCGCCGGAGTGATGTTTCTCCTGACCATCCGTGTGGTTCTTGGGGGTCACCCCTTTCTGCTCGTTCCACCCTGTGCTTCATAATTCATTTTGTCTGCAACTGGTACCTGGGCCCAGGTTCCTGGGGAGGCTGTCTGAGGCTCCTTCTGCCTAAACACACCATGCAGTCATTCTCTGAAACTGCCTCCCTTGCCTTCTAGACAGGAAGCAGAGCACAAGGTCCCTTAGTTCTCAGACCCCATAAACCTTCTAGAGGTTTAGCTGTTGCCTTACTTGAAGACCAGAGCTCAGGGCCCCACTGTGGGGCCACCAGCAGGTTTAATCTCCCTGGGTCTCCTCTTCTCCTGGGGGAGGGAACTATTTTCTGGTGTATATGAGGCAGACAGAAGTATGAAAGGGCACTTTCTCCCCAGTACATTTTCTCCAAGACATCTGTGTAGATCAGGAGCTGGCAAACTTAGGTTCCACAGGCCAAATCTGGCTTACCACCGGGTATTTAATAAAGTTTTATTGGGTTGCAGCCATGCCTGTTCTTTCACATGTTGTCTCTAGACTGCTTTTTTGCTAAAGTGGCAGATGAGTGGCTGGAGACTGTATGGCCCACAAAACCGAAAATATTCACTGTCTGGCCCTTCTCAGAAACAGCTTTTCAACCCCTGGTGCAGACTTGTTTGACACAAAAGCCTGAAAGCTCTGCCCTTTTCTGCTCTTAAATCTCTCCCTAAAGCAACAATCGCAGGGTGGCCTTGCTCTCTGAACATGAAAAAATGACAAAGGAAGAAAAAGAAATATGCAAAGGAAATGGCTGGTGTGTTGAGATGACATTTGGCCAACAGGTGTTTGTGATTTGGAAATTCGTTGTGTAGAACAGTTTGGATGGATGGATGCCCCTTTCTTTCATAGGCTGAATTTCAATAAAAAGTATAGGGGGGCATGGGAGTGGATGAGAAAGCTTATTCCATCATGATGTTCTTGGCATCGTGGAAATCAATGGAACCGTTGAGGTTGCCCAAGCCTGGGTCCTCCAAGGACACCCTAGGGCCTTGCAGAAACACAGGGCAGAGCCATGCATTGGCAGCCAGGCCCTCACACGTGTGGACTTGGCCAGTGAACACAGCCTGGGTCTCCAGAATGGCTTAAAACCCCAGCCTCAGCACAGAGCGTCTAGGCCCCAAGACCACAGCATTAACTTGTGTGGTGTCACACCTGCCCAAGTAAAGGGAGCTCAGCCCGGATCTAACTGGTCTCCCCTCAAAGCCCATGAGCAGGTTAACTCGTTGTTCTTATTCTTTTCATTGTAATGTAAACAAGCTATGTATTTGCTCTTCCTGAAACTTAACCTCCAGAGTATACCTGTGGGCCATTTAAAGGTCTTCATTTCAGGCCGGGCACAGTGGCTTATGCCTGTAATCCCACTACTTTGGGAGGCCAAGGTGGGCAGATCACAAGGTCAAGAGATCAAGACCATCCTGGCCAACATGGGGAAACCTTGTCTCTACTAAAAATATAAACAAAAATTAGCTGGGCATGGTGGCACATGCCTGTAGTCCAGCTACTTGGGAGGCTGAGGCAGGAGTATCACTTGAACCTGAGAGGCAGAGGTTGCAGTGAGCCGAGGACCGTGCCACTGCACTCCAGCCTGGCGACAGAGCAAGACTCCATACCCCCCGAAAAAAGTATTCATTTCAGAGGAAACCCTTGCAAAACATACACACACATACACACACACTCCAAAGATGTCCCTTGGGTTTTCATTGTTACCCATGGCCAAATTTTAAGTTCAGATGCAGGACACAACATGTGGATCTTGCTGAACTGATACTCACTGCCTTCTGCTTCCATGATTCCCAGTTCCCGGATGCACCTTTCAGAGGGCTCACTTCAGCTTGCCGGCAGTGTGGGTCTGGGGTTGTGGGTGTGTGGAGGATGTTGCTTTGGAAATCTTGCCCTGCCCCCTTCCCCCTCCTCTTCTTCCTCCCGGCAAGAGCGACAGAAACAGAGCTCTCCTGCTCTTCGGTAGCACCATCTGGTTAATACAGGCCTTCTTCTTCCTTCTAGCCCTGGGCCTGGAGGCGCACACTGCCTGGGTGCCAGTGTGGAGCATGCGGTCTGCGAGAACCTGCCCTGCCCCAAGGGTCTGCCCAGCTTCCGGGACCAGCAGTGCCAGGCGCACGACCGGCTGAGCAGCAAGAAGAAGGGCCTGCTGACTGCCGTGGTGGTTGATGGTAAAGGCATATGGCATGTCCTTGTGTGGCAGCCTCCTGTCCCCCCCCCCAGGAACATAAAAACCACCTAGGGAAGCTGGGGGACACCCCTTTCCCAAACCAACCCGGCAAGACACCCCAGTCCTCTGCCCAGGTCAGCTGTGGCCCAGCTCTGTGAGTCGGGGAAGGTTGACCTTGAATGACCCAACTCTGAGATGTTTCAGCTGCAGCTGTGGAAGCAGGCAGCAGGCCAGATGCATCCTGCAGCCCCATTTGTAGTGAGGAGGCTGTGCTGGCATCCTGCCCCTGGCACCATGTGCAGAGGGACCCAGGGCAAGGCTGAGGAGAGCAAGGCTTCACAGCAGCAGCATGGTGTGCCGTGGCTGCTGTCTGGCTTCCCGGTGTGAACGCTCCCCTGCATGGCTTCTCTTGGTTTATTTTGGATTGGCTCTTAATCCTTGGCCAGGATGTTGGGGGACATTTTGAGAATAGGTGACAACATGGGAAAGATGATAATAAGTATGGGTCACATTTTCTTCCCAAGAGCTTTCTCCCAAATCAAGAGACCGCTCCATTGGGCCCCTGCAGGCATTTCTGGTTGCTGATGAAGTTCTAGGTGCTGTGTCATGGATACATTTGTCATGTCTGCTTAATTAACATCCTTAATAGAAAAGGACACCCCATGGCCCATTTTGGGGTTGTTGGGGTTTTTTTTTTTTTTTCACTTAAAACCGTTCTTCTTTAGGAAGTAAGACTTTGTGTTGTAATGATGATATGAGCCCGTTTATCAGTACTTCGTGTACAAGATACAAGTTAGCCCTGCATACATTGTCTCACTTAATACACAAAACAGGCTATGCAGAAGATGAGAGGGAATGAGGTTCCAGGACACCTCTAAGCGCCTGTAACTGACAAGAGGCCAGGGCAGAAGCTGACCTCAGTTCCAGAGCAGCTGACTCAGAGAAAATAGGCAGCTATCGTCTGGCTTCCAGCCTTGGAAGACGACAGCGTGCATGACTTCGTGGGTGTGGAGTCGGGGACCTTTAAGAACTTAGGAAACTGGGCTTGATTTTTAGAGCGCCTCAAAAATGTTTTGCCGAAGAATGACGTTTTGATGCCAGGTCTCGGATTTCTTCCCTGTGATGGGAAGAGCCTTTGAAATCTGCATTCCGAGGTCTGCTGTTGCCAGTTCTGGTGTGCGCAGCTGTGTGAGGGGAGGCCCAGGCGTCTCTGCAAGAGCAGCCTCAGATCTGCAGCTTTTAACAGCCTGACCAGTCCTCTTTGAGCTGACTCGTAAAGCCACATGTGATGCTCTAAATTGTAGCAGGTCACAGCAGCCCACTCAGATGAGGACTCATTAAAAGTTTTAGGGAGCCCCTGATCTGCCATTGTCCTTTTGTAAAAAGAGCACCACCTTCGGGGACTGTGTACTGTAGCTGCGCCATCAGCTAGCCGGCAGAATTCACGAGAAACGCCTTGGCATCCTCACCTTTCCCTGCAGATGAGGGAGAGTGGAGACCTGCCCTCCTAAAAAGAACAGTGTGTCTGGGGCCACGCACTTGCACACGGGCCCTCGCCTCTCTCTGCCTGGCTGTGAAGCAGATGCGGGAGGTGGCGGGAGGTGGCAGGAGGTGGCGGGAGGTGGCAGGGGGTGGCAGGAGGCCTCTGCTGTGTCAGCCACACGCAGACCCCTAACTGGAAGTGAGAGAGCTGCCCTTTGTCTAGTTCTCATTAGAAGCGGCTGGTTCTCACGAGCAGCTCGGATTCCGAACCTTCAGCCTTCCCCAGCAGGCCAGAAGAAGATGCTTGTAGACCTCTTTCCTGTCCGCTCCCACTTCGCAGGAGCAAGAGGAGGGGAGGTCTGGGACAGACTCTGCTCTTGAGATTTCAGCTCGACTTCGTGCACCAGGTGTTCTTTCCTCGTTGCCTGCTTCAGTTTTCAGTGCTTCTGCCTCGTGTATTCGGTGCAGAAATCCCACTGCAGTGTCTGTGTTTCCACAGATTTCTCCAAGTCCAGATTAAACTTGGGTTTTCCTTCTGACCACTTGTGGATGGCTGGACTTTGTTTGCCTTATCACCACAGTGGCTGGGACTTCAGTCTGCCCCAGTCCTCCACCCAGGAAGCCTTGCGGTGCAGCTCTTTGGGGAGCTGCTTGGGTTGGGAACGTGACCTTTCACCCACTTACTTTCTGTCCTCTGTGCCCAAGTTGTAAGCTATTGTCCCTGGAGTGCTACTGCCTTTCATGTGAAAAGCGCAGCCCCGTTTGATACGGACAGCTCACAGGCAGTAAGTATCTCGCCTTTGAAGGAGAGACCCCAAGCTCGGGGCTTTGCACAGGTAACTAGACACGGCCTCCTCTTGGGTAGAATCGTCCTGACCTCTTGCATCTGCAGGGAATTGCATTTCTCTCTCAAATCTAAACAGAAGCCAGCGTTTTTTAAAGGAGCACTCCACAAAAGGTAAAAACAAGTAATAAACGGCCAATTTAGAAGGCAAGGGGAGAATACGGATTCTAAGTGTACCTCTGCAAACTCTGTTCACAGAAGGTACAGTTCTAGCTGAGCCGTGATAGGAACGATTCCTGCGGTTGGGCTCTGGGCTCTTCTGAAGCCCATTATGACTGCCCTATTCATAGCAATGCTATCGCCACGGAATTCTTTGGCGAGTGACACACAGTTCAAGAGAGGGGAAGCCGTATTTTTTTCTTTTTTCTCTCTCCTTTTAAAAAAAAAAAAAAAAAAAAAAAGAATTCTTGCAGAGGTAGATTTTTCCAAGGGAGGATTCAGGACCACAAAATCCATCCCACCTCCAAAAGAAGACAAAGACTCTCCTTAGAAAATATTTCTAAGTGGAAAAGCCTCTAGACAGAAACCCATTAAGATGGCATGTTGCCAAACCCACCCTGTTTCTGCTTTCCCCGTGGAATCTCATTGAAGTGGAAACCTTCAAGAGTTCAGTCCTCCCTGCCCAGGCCAGCAGGCCGCGGGCCCACCAAAGTGTCAGAGAGCTTGGCAGAGGCTGCGTCTGGCCATGGCTGTGCGTTCCCAGCTCCTCCTGCCTGGCACAGCAGAACCCAGGTCTGAGCCTCTGTGGGGGTGAGGGGAATAATGGTTAGGGCTCTCTGACTCCAGCTCCGCCAAGCCAGCTGGGGATGCTTAATGAAAACAAGGGAAGCTGTTGCAAAGCCAGAGATGTCAGGACCGTAGCTCCGCGGTCTCTGCTGCTTGCATTTGGTAGTCACACCCCCTGCACCCACAAGTTTTCTCAGAACTTGTCCACGTGCAAGCTGGTAAGGTAGCCCATGGCACCTCTTACGTAAATACACATCCCTCATCTAGATCCTTTGGGACCACATACAGTTCAGGTCTCAGAGCATTTTATGTCTTCAAATCAACCAAATATCTGTATCCCTGGTGGGTTCCAGGAAAGCACCCCATAGTCAAACACGTGGGTCTGCCCACCAGATAACCTCATGAAGGAGGACGGACACTACCAAGAGCTGACATGAGTCCAGCCTGGTTTTGCCGCCAAATGTGTTTGCCACAAATGGAAGAGAACACTTAAACAGTTGTAAGAGCTTTCTGGATTTTTAAATTACATAGAAGGGAGTATAGCCTTCTTTGGGATTCATCAACCACTTCTCTGCATGTGAATTTCAGTACTCAATTCCCAGGAAAGAGATGAGGAATGGGCCACCTATGGATAGGTGCTCATTGCTGGTCAAATCCATGGAGGCCTGGCTGCCTGGGACTGATGAGGCCAGGCGGGCAGCTTTGGGGGACAGGAGTCTGAGTAGCCTCCTCAGCATGTATCCCCTGACAGAGGATCAGGCAGCTGGGATGAGTGCTGTGATGAACTCACAAGCAGTGTTTCCATCATACAAAGACCTCCTAACTGCTGGCAGAGACAGAGAGCAGCAAGAATGTGGAGAGCCATGAGCGTCTTCACTGCAGAGGAATGTTCCAAACCAGCAGGCAGATGAGATCGTGTGGCTTCTAAGGCATCTGAGCCCATCTTCCCTGCCCTGCCTGTGACCTCCTCCAGCCAAGCGGAAGTCCTGCTGCCAGGCAGGCCAGCAAGAAGCCAGACTGGCCCCAGGCTTTGCAGCATCACTCAGAATCGTGGCGTCACTCAGAATCGCGGCGTCACTCAGAATCGTGGCAGCACTCAGAATTGCGGCAGCGCTCAGTTGCGGCGTCACTCATAATTGCAGTGTCACTCAGAATTGCGGCATCACTCAGAGTTGTGGCATCACTCAGAATTGCGGTGTCCCTCAGTTGTGGCATCACTCAGAGTTGCGCTGTCACTCAGAGTTGCGGCGTCACTCAGAGTTGCGGTGTCACTCAGTTGCGGCGTCACTCAGAGGTGCGGCGTCACTCAGAGTTGCGGTGTCACTCAGAGTTGCGGTGTCACTCAGGGTTGCAGCGTCACTCAGAGGTGCGGCGTCACTCAGAGTTGCACCGTCACTCAGAGGTGCGGCGTCACTCAGAGTTGCGCCGTCACTCAGGGTTGCGGCATCACTCAGGGTTGCAGCATCACTCAGGTGCGGCGTCACTCAGAGTTGCGGTGTCACTCAGGGTTGTGGCGTCACTCAGAGTTGCGGCGTCACTCAGTGTTGCGGCGTCACTCAGGGTTGCGGCGTCACTCAGAGTTGCGGCGTCACTCAGGGTTGCGGCGTCACTCAGAGTCACTCAGAATTGTAGCATCACTCAGAGGTGCAGTGTCACTCAGAATTGCATCTCGGCACACACCAGGCATGCAGGCAGCATGCTCCAAGCTTCTTTCCTTCAAATGTGTGGTTTGTTGTATAACTTGTAAGAAAATGCGATTTCTTCCTGTGCTACTGGGGATGTAAGAGTGTTGATGCTATGCCCAAAGCCGAATCCCACCCCTTCCTACTAGTAATCAGGGAACTTGTTCTGGCGGTTAATTTTTTACCTAAGGCAGCCTGGAGGGAAATAGAGAACTTCAAGGCCTTCTGAACCACCACCTCACATTTTATAAAGCTTATCCTCGGTCCCTTTGGAGATCACACCGTACAGTTTGCTAGTGATGTGGGTGCCCTGAATTCCAAGCAGAGGCCTCAAAGAGGAGATGGACAAACGGAGAGTTTTGGTTGAGCAGGGAAGGGAGGCCCCACCTCTATACTCTGTTCTGGAGCCTGAATGTCCCTGGCTATCCCAGCTGTGAAGGGCAGTGTCTGCAGGTGAGCGGCTGCATGCAGGTGGAGCTGAGCGTGTGTTCCTGTGAGGGTTATGGCCAGCATCCCTCCCGCTGAGGTTGGCCACTGCTTTGCAGAGTCCCCATTTCTCTGCTCACCCCAAAGAGTCCAGATAAACAGCCTTCATCCCTTCCAAATCTGGCCTTTCTATCTTGCCTCGAAACAGCCTCTGCTTTTCTACCCAAGTCTCACTTGCATTCTGCTCAGATCAGAAGATACACTTGGAAGCCAGAAACATGCATGAAACTGGTGGTTTATTCTTAGCAATGCCACTTTGCCCTCGATAATTTTGGTCCTAGGAGTTCTCAGTTTAGAGAGGAAATTGCAATGATGGAGAAAGAACCAGGTTGCAGCCAAGAGGCTGGGGTTTGCCCTGCCAGCTGTCGGGCACTCTCTGTGAGCCCCGCGTGCACGGCTGTATAATGGGATGATGACAGCACCCACCTGAAATGAATAGACACTACTTAGCATGCTGCATGGCACACAGTAGATAGTAAATATTGTTGATGCTTTCATCATCCTTACTATGACTGCTGTGGAACAAATCACCTCAAAGCTCAGTTACTCCCAGTACAGAGTCAGCATTTCAGTCTAAAGGCAATTAAAATCCGCAATTTCAAACCTCTTTGGCCATGGGACCCTTGCTTTCGATGAAGCAGTAGAGGCAGTCCGGTGTGTGGAGGAGACTTCTCGCTGGGGGCTGTGTTGCTGTATCTCTTCTACCAGCTCCCCAAGATGCTTGGGGAACCTCAGGGCCCAGAGGGGACCTCTTTGACCCTGTCAAGCAAGTCCTCTTGAGCTAATCTCAGTGTACATCTCCATCTTCCAGAGTTCTCCTTCCAACAGCCACCTCCTGAGGTCCTTCCCTGCAAATGGAAGGACAGCTGCCCCTAGCCTGCCAGCATGGGAAATGACTCATTCCTTCCAGGCTGCACCCAGCCCTCTGACAGCTCCCATCAGACCTGTCACATGTGGCCTCATCCTGCATTTGCTGTGCACTTGGCCATGAGCCCACTGGGGCCTTCAGAAGCAAACATCACTTGTCTGTCTTTCCCTGGCAGTGCCCTCGAGTGCCTTGTATGAGGGAGGGGCTCAGTCCCTGCTTGGTGAGTGGTTAGTGTTGAGGCATCATTACTCCACTGACCCGGGAAGCCTAAGCTCTCCAGGCTACTCTCGGGCAGATGTTTCCCCACAACTAACTGGAAGAACCTAGTGAAGATGCCAGTGCTCCCCAAGTCAAAGCTGGCGTGAGGGAAGAGCTCTGGGGTGGAGCTTCCAGGGCGGTAGAAGACAAGGTGCCATGAGGGATTTCCAAGCAGAGCACATCCCGGGCACAGGCATGGGAGCTGGGCATGTTCTGGGAGGTCACGTGCTTTCAGGAGCAGCGGAAACCCAGGTTTCCACCCTGCCCGGGTGCATGTGTGGCTCTTAGAAGTTGTTCTGGCAGCCCACATGTCCTCTTTGTACCTCACTCCCACTCAGTTTCTGCTCCTATCTCCGCGCGCCATAGCACAGCAGCTAGGGGAGCTGTAAAGCTGTTAGCAAAGCCACTGTCATGGAGATCCTTGTGGCTGCTCCCTCAGCTCGGAGGCATTCTCGTTCACCTTCCCCTCCCCCTCCCTCCTCTAAGAGTGGCTCTGGCTCACCCCTGCATCTATTCAACTATTAGCACACAACTGTTCCTTTGTTTAGCCAGATTTATTTGATGGCTTAAGGAAAAGGAAATGCATCATTGCAAAGGATAAGGAGATGAGAGAAGACAGCCCCGCAGAGCTCTGGCCACCACCGTCATTCCCCTGAGTCTGTGGGTCTTTTTCCACTTGCTGTGCCTTGTGTTCACAGGAGCTGGAGCATGCACCTGAGCTCACGCACTCTTGTTCACCTGTGCTGACCTCTCCTCCCCAGGGTTTCCCACCGTCCACCTGTACCTGCATCCCGCGTGGCCCACCCACCCCTTCCCACGTCAACATCTCCCAACCTTTCCCTCCTCAGATAAGCCGTGCGAACTCTACTGCTCGCCCCTCGGGAAGGAGTCCCCACTGCTGGTGGCTGACAGGGTCCTGGATGGCACACCCTGTGGACCCTACGAGACTGACCTCTGCGTGCACGGCAAGTGCCAGGTGACGTACTTCTCCTTCGGTCCTTGGTGGGGCTTTGGAGGGGAGACTGTCTCTCTGCAGACAGGGAGGGTGGGTAGAGCGGAGGCCTCCGGAGGCCGGGGGGAGTGGATTTTCTTAGAAGGCCCCCATCGCTGCCGCCTCACCAGCCAGTGTTGGCTGGTGCACCACCCCTAGCTCAGCGGTGATGAGCAGCAGGCCAGCAGGAGTGGGGGTGGCTGAAAGAACAGGTGCAGCGTGTTCTAAGACTTTGAAAACTGCTTTAGATGTCATGACCAAAGCGAAGGCAGGCAGGGAACTAAGAGGCGCCCAGAGGATGTCTGCACAGGCTAGGCTCCGTCTAGAGCGAAAGAGACAGTGGAACGGAGCCAATTCCTGTGCAGGTGGAGCCAGGCAGATAGACACGCCTGCCTGTCGGGGAGCCCCTGTCTGCTGCCATATAGTCCCAAAGACATCGAGGGCTGGGCGGCCACTGGTTAGAACAGTGATAAAAGTCATTTAAGAAGAGAGAGAGAGGCCAGGTGTGGCAGCTCATGGCTGTAATCCCAGCATTTTGGGAGGCCAAGGCGGGTGGATCATGAGGTCAGGAGTTTGAGATCAGCCTAGCCAGCATGGTGAAACTGCATCTCTACTACAAATACAAAAATAAATTAGCCGGGTGTGGTGGCTCATGCTTGTAATACCAGCTACTTGGGAGTCTGAGGCAGGAAAATTGCTTGAACCAGGGAGGCGGAGGTTGCAGTGAGCCAAGATCACGTCACTGCCCTCCAGCCTGGGCAACAGAGCAAGACTCCATCTTGGGGCAGAGGGGAAGGAGAGGGAACGTAGGAAGAGGGGAAGAAGCTTACCCTTGACCCGCATTAACCACATCTGGGTCATCTATAGCTTTTGCCTTCCCCAGGTGGGGCTCCTGGCCTGGGGGAGCAGAGGTGACTTCGTGCTCCCTGTCTGTCCCTCAGAACAAGCACGTCCTGAGGTGGTGCAGCAGCTGGGATGGGTGGTGGGTGTCATGAAACTGTGTATTTTCTGTGCCTAGAGGGGCGTGGCCCTCACTTATGCTGCAGATACCATGTTCCCTGATGACTCGGCTCAAGCTGGGCACATTGTGAGAGAGCCCCAGCATCTTAGCTTGGGCACCTATAACGATACCCCACAGATATGGCAATTACTCACAGTTCTGGACGCTGGGAAGTCCAAGACAGGCATTGAGGCACAGGCAGGTTTGGGATCTGGTGAGGGGTCGTCGATCTTAGGCAGCCTTCCATGCTGTGTCCTCTCATGGTGGAAGGGGCTGGTGAGCCCTCTTGTGAGTCTCTTTCATGGGGGCCCTGATCCTGTTTATGAGGGTTCTGACCTCATGACCCAATCATGTCCCAGAAGATCGTACCTCCTAACACCATCACCTTGGGTGGTGATGATTCATATGGATTTGGTGAGACACAAACATTCAGATCAAAGCACCCAAGGAGCCTCTGCCCCCAGCCACACACACCTGTTCCCGTCATCCTGTGCCATGTTCTCTCAGCTGTGTCCTCCGCAGGGGAGCCCACCAAGAGCTAGTGACAGCGGCAGCTCCTGCAGTCCGGAGCAGGCAGATCAGTGTCAGGATCACCATGGGTTGTCCTCGCGAACTGTGGCCGAATCACACGGCAGCTTTTGGGCATCAGGTCCCCTTACCCATGTGGACAGCAGATTCGCTTATGCTGTCTGCTTGCTCAGTGCCTAGCGGAGGGCACGGGCATCAGTATTTCAGGGTGCATGAAAAGCATAAGCAGCAGCAAGGCGGGAAAGCACAAAGACAACTTCCAGGGTGATAGCGGCGGCAAACCGTTTCACCCCAAGTACATGTTTGTTTCCTGCTAAGGCCAAGCCAGTCTGAAACTGGGATTTTTCAGGGAAAAGCTTGACAAGACCCAGACTCCTTTGGCACTGCCTGGCTGTTTTATCAAATACTATCAAATGTGGATAAGCGTGGGTGATGGGCACCTGATGCCGGAGACTCTTGGCATGGCCACCTCCTGGGAGGAGGGCAGTGATGGTGGTTGAACGGGCCCCTCCAGGCTGCTTCCTTGCAGCAAAGAATGTGCAAGGCCCTGCCCCTTGGGCAGGCTGAACAAAGCCCTTATCATTGTTACTGAAATGAGGCATTGCTGATGTTTCTTGGTAAACTTCTAACCAGCCAAGAGCGGGGCTGGTGTCCTTCCTAAATTACACACTTGCACGGACCATTCTGCCCAGAGACTTAATGTTCCTCCCAAGTCTAGAGCTCTTACACCCTTTAGAGCGGCACCAGCCAAGCCACCCCCAGCCTCTGCCAGCATCTTCTGCTGTGTTCTTGCCAACAGAGAGGCATTTCTTTTTTTTTCTTTTTTTGAGACGGAGTTTTGCTCTTGTTGCCCAGGCTGGAGTGCAGTGACGTGATCTCGGCTCACCGCAACCTCCGCCTCCCAGGTTCGAGCGATTCTCCTACAGGGAGGCATTTCTAAGAAGTTGAAATTCTCTAGCCAGTGGAGTCTGTTACTGGCTGGACAGAATTTCTGGCCTAAATCATCTGTGCCACTGGACCGCGTCCATGACCTTAGTTTTAATCACAGCCTTTTCAGCTAGGGGATGCTCTCCATACTGTGACAGTGAAACCTTTAGTCAGTGGAATTGAAGACAAGGTGCTGCTCAAGGCATTTGAATAGCCTAAGCCTGTGGTCATGAGAATACCGTGGAGCCCAACCCCATTTTGCACTTGGGTGTTGTCTTAGACATTTCAGGCTGCTATGACAGAGTACCCTAGACTGGGTGGCTTAGAAGCAACAGACATTTATTTCTCAATGCTCTGGATCCTGGAAATCCAGCATCCAGGGGTCGGCGTACTTGTAAATGTGTGTTTTCCTGCTAAGGCCAAACCGGTCTGAAACTGGGATTTTTCAGGGAAAAGCTTGACAAGACCCAGACTCCTTTGGCACTGCCCGGCTGTGTTATCAAATGCCGATAAGTGTATCTAGCCCACGTTCATGCTGTAGACTGCTGCCGCTCTGTGTCCTCACACGGCACAAAGAGAGCTGGTATCCGGGCATGGTGGTGCAGGCCTGTAGTCCCAGCTACTCCAGAGGCTGGGATGGGAGGATCATTGAGCCTGAGAGGCAGAGGTTGCAGTGAACTGAGATTGTGCCACTGCACTCCAGCCTGGGTGATAAAGTGAGACCGTGTCTAAAAACAATAAAAAATCATTTTCTTGAGGCTGGGAGTGGTTGCTCACACCTGTAATTGCTGCATTTTGGGAGGCCGAGGCAGGCGGATCATTGGAGGTCAGGAGTTCAAGACCAGCCTGGCCAACATGGTGAAATTCTGTCTCTACTAAAAATCCAAAAAAATTAGCCGGACGTGATGGTGCATGCCTGTAGTCCCAGCTACTCAGGAGGCTGAAGCAGGAGAATCACTTGAACCCAGGGAGGTAGAAGCTGCAATGAGCCGAGATTGCGCCATTGCACTCCAGCCTGGGTGACAGAGTGAGACTCCATCTCAAAAAAATAAAGAGCTAACTAGCTCCCTAGCCTCTTCTTACAAAGGCACTAACACATTCATGAGTGCTGCCCCCTCTTGAGCTAATCACCTCCCAGAGGCTTCACTCCCAAATGCTATCACGTTGATATGAAGGGTTTAATTTATGAATACCAGAAGACACAAACATGCAGTCCAACACAGATGTGATAGGCATGGCATTGGGGTGCACACCTTCCTGTTCCCAGATGCCACTCCATCCCCAGGACCAGCCCCAGTCTGTCTCCAGTGCCTCTGCCATTGTCCCATCATTGCAGGGATTGGCGCCTGCACTGTGCCTCATGCTAATCAGGCAGAGTCACCAGGGCATGGAGGTGCAGGTGAAGAAACAACGCTTGGTGGTGGTCTCTTGCTCCTCGCCCTGCACGTGCAGAGACCCTGCCTTCTGATTCTCAAAACATCATCTCCCAGGGGATGCACCCTGGTAATCTGCTGCCTCCAGGCAGTCCACCAGTCTTTACAAAAGAGCCACCATCCTGGCGGGTGGCAACAGCACCTGCCTGCATGCACCTCTACAGGTTAAAACTTTGAGAACCAACTTGATTTCTGAAGGAAGTTAAAAAGCCATTTGCTATTGATCTAATAGTACTTTCTCTTTTTTCTTTCTCCTTTTTTTCTTTTTCTATTTTTTTAATTGTGCTTTAGGTTCTGGGGTACATGTGCAGATCATGCAGGATTGCTGCATAGGTGCATACATGGCAGTGTGGTTTGCTGCTTCCATCCCTTCATACTTTCCTCAGACAGATACTGTAAAGATTAAATCGATGCTCACAAAACTCCAATTTATCAGTTGTAGTGAATGAACTTTTATCATAAAAATTGAGCGTTCTTAAATAAGATCACAAAGTCAATTCAAATACAGTATTTATGCCTTGTGGCAGTAATTGCCAAGATGAAACGTTCTGGATTCCTGTGGCACTAGTGAATGCGTGAAGCAAGGAAAAATGGTTAAGGAAAATAACAGTAATTGTAATTTGAAAATCTCAGTGGCCTAATGAGTGGAGAATCTGTAACTGTTCATTGATAATGTTTATCTAATTATAACGGATTGAACATAAACAATCAGCCACGTTTTGTGCAAGACAGCACTTACAGAATTCCTGCGGCTTGCCTGCTAGCTTTTCCCTCCCTTCCCCTTCAGCTATAAATTGTGCTATTTTGGGGTAACAGACAGCATTCTGGGAAACGTCAAGGAACATAGTAACTGGTTGGTAGGGGGGATGAAGGCTTCGAAATGGCATTTCGAGTAGATTGCACTACGCTTCAGATAGCAGGCTGATTCAAACCGTGACGTGAAACATGGAAATACCATTTTATCCTGTTTTTATGAGGACTGAATTAAGTTTCATTTCAGTGAGTCACAAATTACTTAACATGCTGAAATTAAACCTAACAGCGCTCATAAAACTGGGAGGGAATTGGGGGAAGAAAGACAAACATTGTATATTTTT